CTGAAACCTTTCACCTCAAAGTGATTTACTTTTGTAGCTGGGTGGAACAGCTTTCAGATTTATGGGATCTCAGCACCTCTCGTGCCTTTAAAGTTGAGCCATTTGCTTTGCGTCTGAACTGGGTCAGGTTCCTTACTTTGCTCCCCTTTTTTCTGCTGCAAGTTTTCAGTTTTCCAGCTTAACAAGCATCTTCTGTGTTTTGTGGTCTAGATGACATAGAAGTCAGGTTTGTCCTGGACAACTGGGAGGCCAAAGGTTCCTTCTCCCAAGCCGACGTTCACCGCCAAGTCGCAATCGTGTTCAGGACGCCACCGTTCCTCAGAGACATCACCGAGCCYGTCACGGTGAAGATGCAGCTGCGGAGGCCGTCTGACCAGGAAGTCAGTGARCCCATGGACTTCAGATACCTGCCAGATGAAAAAGGTATGKTTGCAATGAAGTGAGCTTCYGAAAAGYCATTGTCAATGCAGGACTTGTGGTMGTGGCTTAATTAGSARAAAATCTACWATGCTACTTCTGCAAAGCAGTGTTTTAGGTTTTAAAATTTTAAAACAGTCAGTTTTTCCTCTCTTTCAGTTAAAATACCAAGAATCACTGTTGGGTTAYACCAGCATGGTTTGTTAATGCTGCCATGCCTGAAATATTTCCCTTTAAATAAATCCTGCTACAACTTGGTGCCACTGTGAAGTTCCTTTAGGCATTTATCAAAGAGAAACATAACCCTTTTCYCYTCCACTCMTTTCTCTGTAGATCCATATGGCAACAAAGCAAAAAGGCAAAGATCAACGTTGGCTTGGCAGAAGCTCATCCAGGACTGTGGTAAGGAAAATACTTGSCTTTTTCTTCTTGCCTGAGTGAACTTATATTTAGATGGCACTGTTTTCTGTAAGAGCAAATGCTGAAGACTCATGCTGTGTTCCTTTGCAGGATCAAGCACGACAGAGAGGCCCAAAGTAGCTGCATTCCCTGTTGTCACTCCTGAAAGGAAGCTGATTAAGAAAGGTAGGTTTTTGCCTGCAAACTGACAGTGGTTTAAACAGCCAGTGCCCTCCTCTTTTCTTGGAATTCTAATCTCTTGAGGGTTTCTTTTTGCGAGCTACTGCTACTTCTGGCTTACAAACTTAAAATGATCAGTTCTTCATGTCACCCTCAATATGGGCCATGTAGGGGTAAGGCAGGCAGCTCTCTTGCTGCTGTCCAGAACTCTGGGGTCCACCCTGGAGAACAGTGAAGTAAGTAGACAGTGAGAATGCACATACAATTTTACAAAGATTGTGCWGTGTTTTCTTTGCTTTTTACCATTTGTAATTTGAAAAAAAGCCTAAAAGGTGGCATTCTCTCCGTAGAACCAAACGTGTTTTCATCCACGCTGATGCTGCCAGGGTTAGGAGCCCTGGCCAACACCAGTCAGATGTACCCTGGCTGCTCCCAGCTGGCGGTGGGGCCGGGGAAGCAGGACGTGCTGTCCCCGTGCTGGCTGCATGGCTCCGCGTCCCCGACCGGGCTGCTCGGCACCCACCCGCCCAACAGCTTCTCCACGGAGCCCCAGCCGCCCACCCTGGGCAGCAGCTCCCTCACAGCCTTCCAGGACAGCCTGACCTGGTCCGACGAGAAGGATTCGAGCTTCTACCGGAGCTACAGCAGCACCAACGGGCTGGGAGCGGGGCTGATGTCGGCCGCGGAGCTGCAGGGCCTTTCTGGCGGCGGCGCTTCCRGCAGCAGCACGGTCGGCATGGACATGGACGACATGAGCTGCACCAGCATCAGCCTGGAGAAGTTCAATGCCATGCTGGGCACGGGCAGCCACCGGCAGCAGCTGCAGCTGCCCCAGAGCGGGGCCGCCCCGAGCGGCGCCACGGCGGCTTTCGCGTCGCAGCCCAGCTTCGCCGACCCCGCTTACAGCTTCATGGAGCCGGAGGTGCTGAGYGAACCCAGACTGTCCAGCAGCCACCAGGGTGGCCTGGCAGACAGCCAGTACTATGACACCGACGGTGTCCACACCGATGAGCTTTATCAGTCATTTGCCTTGGATAACATTTTACAGAGCTATAACCCGTGAGCCAGCGCTGGGTACGTAGAGCTCCCTGAGTGCCGCTGCGTGGAGAGGAGGAATTTACCCTTCTGGAGTCCCTGCTTTCTCTTTCAGAATGTTGCTGTGCAAGTTTCATGATGTAACTTAAAGGTTATTTATTGCAGCCCATAGTGGTGCCCCTAAAGAGGGAGGTGGGAGTAGGGTTTGGGGTTCTGTGCCTTAAAAGTATCTTGTATATGTATTTTTGCGCTGTTGGAAATGGGAACTGTTAACGCTTTAAACTTCCTTACCTTTGGGGACTGTAAAAGCTGGCATCTTCAGAAGGGTTAAAATTTCAAATACTTCACAAGCTTTAAATTGTTTCAAATAGCCATTTTTGTTATAGAAATTAAATTTAAATTTTTATAGGACAGAAATGAGGAAAACAAACATGCACATGAGCACTGTAGTTCAGTCTCATCTAATGACATCAAAAGTTCTGCTCAACTTACTTGAAAGGTTTAGGTTTCTAACCCCCTTTCTATAAATACTCTTCTCCTAAAATGAGAACATGTATTGATTTTCCACGCTGTCACCACACTCCATTTGCTTTGAAGGCAAATTTACTCGTAAATTTTTTTTAATGACTATGTCATTGTTAGATATATTTTAAAAGACCGGAAGGTTTGAGTTTTTAAATAGTCCAGCTCTGTTGTAAAGGAAATCACTGCACAAGAGAAGGAACAGAAAGTGAGGACTTGTCTGCACTTCATCCAGAGYGCACTATTTTACAAGCCATGCCCCTGTTGCTTTAGGAATGAAGCTCTTATTGCTCTGCAAGTTGTGTGTGTGCGTAGCTGCGATGTGAGTGAGATTTGGAACGGCARAAATCTCTGGAGCCGAAGTATCCACTTACTCTTTCCTCAGGTATCCCAGCAGTTTCCTGCTATGCAAGTGACTGCTTTAAAAGCAGGCTCAGATCCTGCCTCCCCAGCACCACCCCCTCCCAGGAGGGCAAAGCCAGGGGCTGCCTTGGTGCAGCCTCATCTCTATTAACAACTTCTAAAGCCATTTCAGTCAGTACTAATGAAAGACACTCCTCTGTCCTCTGTATCAGGAAYCAGAACTTCTTCCCTCCCTGATTCCCAGTCTTGGCTCTTAGCCTGACCCAGAGTTGTTCCTGACACCAGCTGGAGGTAACTGGCTGGGTAAGACACTCTGGCCTTGGGTGTTTTAGTATATTGTTATTTTTTAAGAAGCAACACAGAGAAATGTCTGAGTATTTCTTGAGTGACACAGCTGCTCTTTAGGGMAGATAAGGCTTAAGTGTCTCAGTTGTTACCGTTAGGTGACATAAAACTGCACCATGAAAGCAGCAACAAAAAAAGCAATAAAATCAAAATAAGCAATAAAATCACCCCGAAATTTAAAAAAGCCGCTTGAGACGTAGAGTTGTGCAAAAGGAAAAGAGCTCCAGAACCCCTCTGTGGCTTACAGGAAAGCAGGGATRCCTTCCCTGCAGGAATCCATTGCACTGGGAGCATGCTGGGGCTGCTGCTGGAGTTCCATCACACAAGCCTGACAGGTGAAGTTTGGAAAACTGCTTCCCCAAACCTCAAATGCACAAAGGAATAAATTAATTGACTCTCCCAGTTTTAAAGCAGTTCTTCCTCACTTATGTACCTCTCCCCCGCACTCTTAAGCAATAGGAAGACCAAAGAAATACCAGAAAGTTTGAAATGTGTTGTTTATTCAGTTCTTTATTTTTGAAGTTCTCAGTTTTAAGCATATTAAATGTAAACATTTTACTCACTTCATAGAAAGCTCTTTATAGTACAATTTGTTTTTACTGTATAATTAAATATTTTCAAAGTTCTGTTTTCCTTTGTAAACGAGTTGGTTTGGTAATTAAAAAAACTGGTTATACCAAGTGCTCATCTTCTGCAACCTCCTCAGCTTCGTGACATCCCTCACCACGGGAAAGGCAGGGAAAAGGGAGAAGGTAGGTTATTGGTAGCTTATCGTGGGTTTTTTTGGGGGTTATTTTCTGCTCCCTTTTACCACTCTAAAACCTGAAGGCATGTGAGGGCTCCTCTGCCCCTGCAGGTTTTGTGGCAGAGCTGTGGAGTTCTTAGGCAGAGGGAACAAGGGCACAGATGCTTTTGGCTGAGCTGTGCTGCTGGTACAGCTTTCTCCAGGCCCAGCTGAGCTGATGCAAAACCAAAATGCAAGGGGGCATTAGAGGTGTCCAGCTGGAGAAATACCAGAGGAARTCTCGCTCTCACAAAACACCCAGTTTGAGCACTCACAAAAATACTCCTACAAWTAAGGTGAAGGCCCAAGTACATCCAATATGTTATTGCTGCAATATCCAGTATCATGACAGTTCAGAAACTGGACTGGAAACAAAGTTCAAATCACCAGATTACATCTTTCAGTTTCGTTTTTGCACGTGATGATGCCCAGCAACTGCCTCAAGAGCTCAGGCATATTTGCATGTCAGCTTCCACCCCGTTTGGATACTTCAGATTTACCGTAAAAATAAACAGTTTGGGAATTTTTGGAGGAGCTCTCTGCCTTSCCCAGAGAAGAGCTCAGACTCGGCACATTGAGGGTCATCTTTATGGCCTTGTTTATTTTGGATTCTGCCTGGGATCCCCATCTGCAGCAGGAGCTGCAGAGGGAAGCGCTGTGTGTCCGTGGCATTATGGCAGCAGCCTTTTCCCTTTCCCCTTTTTGGCTCCATTTCCCCTTGGAGCAGCTCTTCCCATGCCTGTTGTGTCTAGAGTGCACAGTCTTGTTTACATTTTTTTCCCCTTGCAGCTTACAGAATTTATAAAACATACTTCAGCTCACTTTTAAGGAATCACACAGATATTAAATGCTCTTCCATTTGTTTTCTACATTTAGTTTTCCATCATTAATGACACCTCCTTCCTAGCTGCAGGTTATTATCTGAGAACTACTCACGGAATTTGTTGCTCATAAGAGCTTTAATATTAAAATTAAAACCAAAAATAATGTGGCTGTCTGAATCAAATCCTGTTAGAAAAACAGGAGCTTCTGAAGTACTTACGTTACAGACAAGTTTTGACAGTCTAGCACAGACAGAACCTTAAAGGAGCTCCTTAAACATGCATTTAGTAACACTTTTAGAGCCTCTAGTTTATGCTCTCATGGAGCTGTTCTAGCATGAGGTCCTGGCAGCACTGAATTCAAGGGAAAACACCCCAGTCATCCTCCCTGTCCCCAGACAGTCACTTGTCTTGGCAAATATTACYCTCTTTATTCCCAAAATGTTAAGAAAGAGCTCTGAAATGCCAAACTTTAATTTTTTGTTTAATGTAAAACTATCTTCTGTACTTCRGGAAAGTACCTTCCTAATTCATTAACATGACATTGGTATAAAAAATTACTTCCTAAAGATGTTAGGTGGAACTTAGTATGAAACATTTAAAGTAAGCAAAAACTCAGATTTTCCCTGTTCCAGGCAAGTTCCTAAGCTGTGTTTAACTCTTCCAGGCATCCGTCCAAGGTGAGGTACTAGAAAAAATGTAKTATGCTGCTCAATAATAGCTTTTTATCTGTCTGTCTCTTAATACCAACATCCTGTGGTACCTTTTGTTTCTGCCTGCACTTTGCAATTCTTGGTATTCCTGTTTTTCTTTAGATTCCCATCATGCACCACTCCCAGGAGTTCCCAATCTTTTTATATATGGTGACTCACTGGGGAATTCCTACTCCTCAAGAGGGCTGATGAGGCCTCAACTGTTGTTTCTAGGAAGCATCCCTGATGTTTTTAGATGAGAAAAACCTGGTTTTAAGTGCTAAGTTTTCCTCTGAAAAGAAAAATTTCCCCTTTGAAAAGTAGTTCTTTGCTCATCTCTACTGACATTGAGCAAAAAGCAGTCAGTGTCTCAGGGAAACTTGCTCCAGGCACCGTCCTGCTGGCTGCAGTCTCCCTGGTTTTTGGGATTTCCTGCACAAACTGCTCAGCAAAAGCTGGGAATGGATTTCAGATAACTCAGTGCTACCTGCATCCACACAAGAAAAGCTGCAGTATGCAACAGAAAAAGAGTTTAAAATAAAATCTTGCTTGATGGAGGGCTATATACACTGGCTTCCCAAAATTCTTTTATGTACAGAAGAAATAAAAGTAAGGCTAGAGATTGAACCAATGCTACCTGGTCCAGAGTATGTAAAATATAGTCCAAGGGTATCCTCTGGCAGATCAACATGATCCAAACGTTCCAGGGACACCCTTTGCACCCAGGCTGTAACACTGCACAGTGTCTGGTCACCAGCTGCTGCTTCCTCATCCCAGCTCCAGAAGTTAATCAGCCAGGGTTGGAGGCCAGTCAACATCAACAGACTAGAAAAGCAAAATGGGAAAAAAGGCAAAATCAGCAGAGTTGGTATTTTACAGCTATCAAAAGAATCACAATTCCTTTTGCTGCTACTTGGCAGCATCACTCGCKGTTGGACTGGATTTACAAAGAAGAGTAGCAATAGGAAATGTATCCTGTGGTAAGGAACACTGATYCACTTAAAGCAATTCCATGGAAAGTATCTCACATGGGCAACTCCCTCAGTAATTTCCASGAAAGACAGCAGACAACTTACTTCCACATCCAGCTCCAGAATGTCAGCAGTTCTGTTCAGAAGGGACCCAATGTTGGGCTTCGTTCTTCCAAAGTCTCCATGCACAAACTCCTTAATGTAGCTGGAATACTGGCTAAGGAGAGGTGTATTTCACAGGAAAGAAACCAAAAGGAAAAAACTCCTAAGTAACTTCTCACTTAATGTCCTGTTAAGCCYACACCTATCTTTAAGAGAGCTCCTAATTCCTGGCTTGTGACAGGTGCCAAAAACTGCACTGCTGACTTTTATTTTCTGTTTCRTTCCAAAATAAGTGGTGACTTTAGGACTAAACTGTAACTTTTAAGTAGCAGCGATCTCCAGTGTGCACTGAAGTGCATTAAATATTGTGGAAAAGCTCATTTTTGGAGGTGAAAAGTTTTCACTTAAATTGGAAAAAGCTGAAGTGTATTTTTAAGCAGTACATTCTCATAACTGTCACATACTTTAAGATTATCACAGTGGTCAATACAAAACCACACATGTATGTGGCATTTTTGGATGGATACCTGAGCATGAAATTGTGACCTAAAAGCAAACACGCAGCAACACCACTGCAGGAGAGGAGAGATTTCAAAAGGAGGGATTTCAAAACACCACAATGAACAAAGCAGGAAACCTCCCATTATCCCAATCACTCCATCCAGGAGGCTGTCAGGGCACCCAAGGATACGTTCCTGCCTGAGTCTTCAGGTGCAGGCGGAAGTGGTGCTCGTCGATGTACTCGGATTTCATGGTGTGGATGACCCGGCACCGCACGGCCAGAGGCCGCCGGTGGAGAACACGGAGCGGGGTCTTCTGGTCCAGCTTCAATTCCTGGTGCCAGAGGAAAGAAATGAGGAAGAAATTGTGAAAATGCTGCAGATTGTTGGAGTTGTGTGTGTTGTTAACCAGGCTCGTCTTTTTTCTCTTGTGTTCTGGTAGTTGAGTAATCTCAAGGCAAGACCCGTTTTTTCCAAGTTTATCAAAGGAAAAAGGACAGCCCTCTCAGAGGCCAAACAAGGCCTCACATGAACACAAACTAATCGAATCACAAATACAGAGGAATAACCTTGAAATCTCCATAGCCCTTTGCTGGAACGACTCCAGGATTTAGCAGCTCACTCAGAGCCTCAGGGCAATCAGGAAAAAAAAATCCCACCCAYAAAATGCTTTGTCTAAACTACAGCCAACCCCCTAGAAATAAAAGTGAGGGAAAAAAGCCCTAGATGAGATTAGATCTTGGAACAGTCTTTTGAAAAGTTTATTTCCAACTCCCTTTCCCAAAGGAGATGCAGCAGTTTGAAAGGCAACTTCTCCGGAGCAAGGGAAGCTAAAGGAAGAGCTACCCAACAGTTGTCTCCCTGAGCTGTAACGGCTCAAGCCCTCATTTGGAGAATGAGCTCACAGGCAAGACTCGTAGGAAATGGTGCAACACACCAAAAACTGAACCCACTTCTTCATCAGGCCAACATCTGGAGACTGTTCTCATTCCTGCACATGCTGAGCCTTCCTGAGGCCTCTTTGCAGTATGTTATAGACATTTCCAGCTCCAAATTGTTGCAGCTGTGGGAGAATGGCTTTAGAGCAGAACAAAAGAGCTTCTCTGCCCCTTTCACTCACAGAAGACACTATCTAAGGTAAAAAAAGGGTGCAGGTGCCAGATTCCCTCCTCTCCCATCTATTGATTTTGATGATTGGGTCTCCTGGAAGGTGAGCAGTATACAAGGATTTGTTGTCTGTGCTAACAGCCAGCTAACAGTCTGGCTGGAGTGACTGGTGAAGGTTGGTGTGGAAGTCCCCATAGCAAGAGAAACTGATTAAAAAAACCCAAACACCAAGCAAAACACCAAAACCAGAGCAAGAGATAGGCCCATGGGTGCACGTATATAACAGTTTGCTAGGACACCAGGACAGGTACTATTTAAATGGTATTAACAAGAGCTCCTGATACCTTGATATCATCCAGAAATGCGATGTCTTCTCTCTCTATTGCTTTATCTGTCCATATTAAGGCACTGTAGGTCTTTGTCTTCTCCTCCTCACCTTCCTTCATACGACCAATTGCCTCTCTAAACAAAAGAAATTAATTACTCATTTAACATAAGCATAATTATACAAGGCTGTGTGCAGAAACACCTCCCAACTCCCCAAGTGGTGTTTTGAAATCCCCCGCYAGCGATGATAAACACTGACCTGGTGACAAGCTGTAAATCTCGAACCTGTATTTTGTCTGAAGAGTCATTAATTGCCTGTAATATTTAAAMCAGAAATCAGTTAGCAGAGCTGCTGTGTTGGAGAGGCAGCACGTGCTTTACGAGTTCCGTGAGGTGCCCATGATTTACCTGCTGCAGCCTCTTCATCTCCTCCGCAGTGAAACGTATCCTACGAGGATTCACCAGCTCGATTGCAAAGGGCCTTCCTGGCAACAGGCACAGTCATAAAACATAAAAACATGTTGTTCTAAATTAATGCTGGAGTTTACACAGGAAGGCTGCAAGGTGTGAAGACTGTCTGCTGATACACAAACAGGGAGAGGAGCRGCAGGCTTAGGGATGGAGCATCAGATGGAAGGGAAGAAACAAGGGACTTTTYTTTGGCTACTAAACCCCAGTATCAGCAATAACTGCGAATTATGACTTCCCAGAAGACATCTTGTACAAGTCTGTGCTAATTAAAAAATAAAATAAGAAAAAAAGCTAATTAGCTTATTTTCTGTCACCTACAGCAATGCCCAGGTGCACGGCRATGTTAAATCCCACTCCCTCAGCCCAACATCTGTTGCCAGAGTTGTAACTCTGTGCTCAGGGCCAGGACAATCCCCAGAACAAGCAGTGCCAAGAATCACACTACAAATCAGGCAGCAACCGAAACAGAATTGTTCATTTTTMCTTTTTCTTTCCCTCCTCCTTTGGCTACAGCAGCTTCAGCACGCTGGAAAGCAGCTGAMCTTTAGAAGGGACACAAGTTCAACAAGAACACAAGGCTCCCCCACTCTGCAGTGACAGTGAGGGAATTAGAAAGATCCAACAGAAAACAGGAGAGGAATCAGTCTGACATAAATGGCTTAAAAGTAGGGAGTGAATAAAATACTCTTAACTGGCTCTGCCTTTCCAAGCAGCTAAGGCCATGAAAAAGAGTTCCTCTTTCAAGCTGGTTTTATGAAGCTCTTTGGTCTTTGGGAATAAATATATAAATCTCACTCAAATGCTTCCGAGATAAAATTTCAAAGCATGCCTAATCACACACTTGGCACTCAGGAGGATCTGTCAGAGGAGTTCCACACAGACATTTCATCTCCGTGTTTCACAAGGGGTCTTCCAGGCCTTACCATTGCCTAGTGTCCTTACATCCACATCTTCTCTTCCAGAGGAGGAAAAATTAAAGCCTATAACAGATTTGAACAAAGCAGGTGAGATTTCATTTCACATTTTTAATACTCTTTACAGCTTTTAAAAGGCAAAATATTTTCTTTCTAAACTTGTTTGCAAAATCAAAGAGTTGTCTTCATAAACTGGAGCCTGCACTTCACAAACTCTGAGAGTTCCTATTTATTCCCAAGTTTCTCGAAGAGCACTCCCAATTCCTTGGCCTGAATGAGACTACTACAGTCAGACGAACATATCCACAGGGAGGAGAGGAGGGGGAAGTAGCAGGTTTTTTTCCAAGCTGATATTTAATGCAACTTTTCCTTGGGCCTTCTATGTCTGTAATTCCACATCTGTTAGAGGACAAATGATGGGCAATGATTATTTCATCTGGATAAWCCCTGGATAAGCATTTACCTTGTGGAACTTTATGCACTGAGGAAAACAAATGAATCAAGGTAAGAAACATGAAGGGGTTGAAAGCCAGGCAGATATTAAGAAATACCTGTGGCAAAAACCTGCCTGGTACAAATCATTTTATGAATTACCAACTGCTAAGGAGTTTGGTTAAGCAAAAACACTACCGCATGAAACCATCATATTTGCATCATCAGATCCACTGAGGAGCTACTTTAGTAGGATAAAAGGATCTAATTACTCCCAGATCACAGCTAAATAAAGTTTACAAGCTTTGATTTGGAAGGATAAAAGAGGGATAAAGAAACATCCGTTTTTCCCATTATATTCCCATATTAAGTGGGTAGCTACTAAGCAAAAATCTAGTAAAGGTGAAAAATACGTATGGTAGGAGATCTAGATACTTACTGTCTGCCTTGAATTCTGCCATTAGATGCTCTGAAATCAGTTCTTCCACTGAAGATTCCAGCTTCCGCTCCCCATCAATAATCCAKGGAGTCTGAGGTAAATTCCTGGAGTATTTGTTGTATCTTCCTGTAAAAGACAACCATGTTGCTTCTAATCATTCTAAAACCACGAGAAAAAGCTGCAGTCTTGCACAGCACATTTAACTTCCATGGGGGCTTTGTGAAAATAATTTTACAGGCTCGAGCTTGTTTTATGGCAGGAGCAATAYACCAGCACTATGGAACACATGTGGCTGCACCCAGGAGAGTGGCAGGAACCAGGATGGCCTTAAAGCTGGACTTGAGAGCCTGTGGCTGCAGTCCTGCCTTCAGGTAAAACCCTCCTCTGTGAAATAGTCCAGGTTCCAAGCCAAGTTCTGCCATCGTCTGAAGACTTAGGAAAAGAAACCCAAACTAAAATGTTTTGGCTCACTACAAGGAAAACCATGCAAGGAGCAAAAAGTCTCAATAACAAATTAGGAGGAATGGCAGGAACTGTGAGAAGGTGCCATGTTTGGAGATTGGCATCCTTGGATGATCACGATGTTCTCATGGCAACTCCATGACARACTATAACCAATGAACAAGCCAGATGTGGATGACCAGCATAAGGTTTTTTATGGACAGGACTGATAAGTGAAAATATTCCCAAAGCAAGGGAATAATTAGTAAGGGACAGGGAAAGGAAGCCCCTRCTCAAACCACTTTCGACCTGAAACYCTGCATACAGAAAACAGAGTTCAGAGTAACTGTGCATTACTCTGTGCCTCTGTCATCTCAGGGGTTTGGGGTTTTGTATCATATTTTCCTATCTCGAACAATGTTTCCTTCTTGCAGTTCGATCTGGAGAAAAAGCTACACAAACAAATGGGGAAAATGAGTAACACAGTTTCACTGGGGCAAATAATGAAAGTCGGATGACTCATCATTCAGATGCAGCTTCCCACTGCTAAATTCTCTTTCCATAAAATGGAAAAAGAAGAATAAGGTTTGKTTTTTTTTTCTCTCAGCTCCCCACTCTAATAATTTTAACTTTTACTCTGAACAAGAGTTGGTTTAAAAAAACAGAAGRTGTTTTTTGGTTTGACAGCTCCTGAATCCTTAAAAAAGGGGGTGAGAAATGATCACTAAACACCAAAAGTAAGGTCAAGAGGACAATGTTGTACTTACAAATTAAGATCCCATCTCATTTATTAAAAGCAAAATATCTGCACTGTACTCAATGAATTCTACTCTGGATTTAGTTCTGGAAATTTAAACACCTGCTTGGATTTCTTTTTCATAGAGCAAGATATAAATGATAAATGGGTAAGAGCAGTATTAAATGACATGCAGAAAGCAAACCTTCTGCCTTGCTCTTTAAAAAGCAGAATTCTGATAAAATTATCCAACAAAGCAATCTAAAATAAAACTGTTTGGAAAAGCCTAAAAGGAACTGGGTATCTTAGATTGGCAAAAATGTACATTGAACTGTCTAATCAGTAATTAAAAATAAGAAATGATTATATGTAGAACGTCAAGTACCCTGCCATTTGCTTTTGCCTTTTTTCATTTTTGATTTCTCTATATTCAGGATTTTTATCATTCTTTTAAACAGAGTATGCTGGATTTAAATTACAGGTTGKATAGTTTTTTAAAGAATAATCAGTTTGCATGTATTTAAATAAATTGTTTATGCAAAAGACTAGAAGAAGGGTAGATACTTTGTCAGGCAGGTGATAAATCATCTGAACCCAGCAACAACCATGGGTGGCTGCACTACCTGTCTCACCCAAACCTTCATAAATCCCATGCAGATATGCAGTTTTGGATGGGATAATAAGCAGAGAAATCCAGATAGTGAAAACCTCTGAATCCAAATCAAAAACCAAGGAAGTGAACAGCTCTGCTGGGAGCCTGTTGGTGTGGAAGTGCCCTTCCCAAACCATTATTCTGAGGGGATCTGTGATTTCTAACTTTTGACTAAATAATAGCAAAGGCAAATACAATTTGTTCTCCCTTCAAACCAGCTCACACATGGATAGAGCTGGATTTGTTTCTTTGCCTCTTACACTTCATTACAGGAATTAACAAACAGCAAGAATCCTCTGGGTGTCAGGGTAGTGTTACAAAGTTCTCTTCAAGACAACACAGCAGGAAATAAATGGTTCACTTTACCAGCCACAAAAACTGCACCGTTATTGCACTGGATTTCCAGTGCATCACAGAGGGTCTTTGGTGAACTTGGGGGACATTGAAAATGCCTGCATTAAAAATAAAAAGAGTAAAACATATTATCAATACCAGAACATGATGGAGCATCACCAGAGCATTAAATAAGTGTCTCTTGTTGGCTTCCCCCACTGCACCTGATTTTTATCATATTAACAGCACTTGGTGTTTTCTTAAAATTCAGCTGCTAGGATTTTTGAAATACGGGAGTATTTCTTGTAAAGGGAAGCTTACCTTACAAACTCTAAAGTTCAAAATAACCCTTCATTAAAAGATCAAGAGTGATTTTATACTGCCAGAATAAATAACAAATTTTAAACAGTWAACCAGCAATATTTAAGCTATCAAAGGTTCTTTTAAAGCCACCCTGTTTAGCCACTGAATATTTTCCTCACCTCCCTAATTCTGAACAAAAGCACAATACTAAGAACTAGTTTCAGTATATACTTACTTGAGAAAATCCTCTTCTTTTATCTTCTCCAGGGCTTTTATAACTGCCATTCTGGTAAAAACAGACTGCACAGTGAAATAAAAAAATGAGTCAAGAAAAGCAAAGAAAATACATGCCTATGGAAGAAAAAAGCATTGAAACTTACAGTGTATAGTTTTGTCACTCCTCACTTGGGAGCCCAGGTCCAAATTTGCAAAGTGGTTTAAAAACAGAAYCCTAAATCTGTGAACAGAAACCTGAAGCAGCTTCGTTGAGTTAAATATACCTAAGCCCCAGCTTTTATGTCAGTGACAGCAGGCAGGTAGTTCTGCTGAAAATAAGCCTGTTGAGYAGGAATCCGTTTCTGAAGTTCAGAAGTTGATTGATTCTCAGAACTAAGGGCTCTGAATGGTGGGGCTGGGCAGTTCCTCCTGTGGAAAGCAGGCAGCTTCTCACTTGCAGGCTCCAGCAAAATCTGTAATAATAGTACAGCAGGAGCCATGACTGCCAATCTGTGTGTGTAGCCAGGTCCTGCTGGGGATAACTGCAGTGAAAATCTACCTAGGACAGGAGACACAGGTGTTGTAACAAGTGAGGTGAAATCCTGCTCTAGGAAGGCTGAGGATGGGAGAAGGTCCCTAAATGAACCTTCTAATCAAAGCATGGTCAGGTCTTGAAATCCACCAAGGATGGAGCCTGCAAACCCTCTCTCCAGAGTCAACTCTCCTCAAGGTAAAACATTTTTTCTTCCATCTCCTCTGAACTTGTCACACCAACATATTCCTGCTGTGCCTCATCCTTCCACCAGGCTCTGTGAAGACCAGCCTGGCTGCCTGATCTCAATAATCTCTCTTAGGAGGAGATTCAGTTGGATCCTCCCCAAAGCCTTCACCAAGAGCCTTGAAGAAGTCCAGGTTCCTCAGCCTCTCCTCCCAGGCACGTGCTCCAGCCCTGGGACTGCCCTGATAGCTGTCTGCTGAATTTCCAATATATTTGTGTCTGTCTAGCAAACTGGATTGGGGATTTTGGGGAAAAAAAAATACTGGGTCACTGTTTGGGACAATTCAAGTCTTGGCTCTAAACAGAGTTCCTGGGTGCCTTCAGGAAAGCTGCTCTTTTACCTTCTAAGCATAAATTAGATAATAGCACTACYCTTCCTCACAGAACAGATGAGCTGGAAAACCCTGAAAGCAGCAGCAGGTTTAAATAACTATCTACAGCAGACAGCACAGAAATTTCCCCTCAGAAGCCAGTTTTTACACCACTTCTCTGATTAACACAGCCCTTGAAGCCCARCTTCTTTGTGAGGATGAACCTCTGACAGCTCTTCAGAGCTGGTATTTTTCTTTAGATTCCCATATATTTTGTTGCCTCTGTGTTTTTAACAGCCAGGCCCTGCTGGTTTAGCTCCTTATGTGGGATTTCCCCCCTTTTAAAGGACAGCACTGCAGCAAGCAGCGAGTTGTAACAATACAACCCTGATAAAAAGAGTGGCGTTTATTGGTCAGGTGGAGTAGAGTCAGCAGAATTCCTGGGTCAGCCTCTGCCTCTGCCAAACATTGGCAGACTCTTCACCAGAAAGAATGAAAGGCCTTGCAATGGTTTCTGATAGAAGTTACTTATTCTCCCTCTGATCACATCAACCGTCCTACTTGTATCAGTTTCCCTCCAACTGGTTTTTTRTCCTCACATGTCCTTTTTTCCGTCAATGGTTGTATGCGTGCTCAGGGTCTGCAACAAGTGGCAAGGTCCCTTTTCTTTCCCCACCTCCTMCAGAGGCAGACAGGATAAAACCATCCTCCATGTATCCTGGCTTTTATTCAGATCAGAGGACATGAAAACTGCAGTGTGATCATTTCCCTTTTGGCTGCTGAGTCTCATCTTCACAATGTGACTTATCTGAACTGCTTCACCCACAGAGAGCTTGAGGATCATCTTTTATGCTACTTTTAATGCATGACAATGAAATTCCTAGATCTTAAGGGCGGTATTTACAGAGAACATTCCTAAAATTATGGCCTTTAGACTGCCTGGAAAATGAACGACCTRAAGAAAAGCACCAAGCTCTTGGTTTTCCTAAGCTGAGAATTGTGAAGYGAATAAAGGAGACAACTTTGTTTTCAGACAATTGAAAACTAGAGAGCTTTCTGATGAAGAAAAACCAGACATTGAACACTGATTGAATAACCAGATAAGTTGTAGCTACTGCTGTGAAATTCTGAATGTCAGAACAGAAACACAATGATGAGATCTTACCTGTTTGTTCTTCGCTGGTTTGAAACAGTCTGGGCAGGCTGTGGCTCTAAACACAGAAATGAAAATTAGCTGTTCATCTCACAGAGAGACAAATAAACAGACACTCACAAGCACAGCATGTAAATGTTTTTTGTACCAATGCATCCAGTGTCTCACCTCCACTCAAGAGTTAAGCTCTTTAAAATTCCCTTTATCTGAAACCACAAATGGTACAAGATGTGCGATGCTTGATCCAGAGAAATCACGGAAAAAACTCTCTTCTCCTGCTCTGACCAACACCATCTCAGTCTCAGCTTTGAGATGGGATGGAAAACCACACAAGTTTAGCTTTCAGTCCTTTCCAATCTTTCTCAATAAAAGGTCATAATTGTGTTAAGTTCTATGCAAGATTTGCTGACACCTTGAAATCTGTACTTGCTGCTCTCAGACAACACCCACTACAAACCTGAGATTCAAACTGTCCCTTCAGGATAGGAAAACTGAATTTCCTACCAAAAAACTAACCCCAGGTGCTCACTCCCACTTGAGCTTTTCCTGTGCAAAAGGAAATTATTGGCTGTTTCACAAAAGTGAAAGCCAAGTCAGTCAAACACCTTTTCTGAGTACTGGAGAGGAAGTTGCTGTTCCTATTAGTGGATTTCTATGTATGCTGTCAGAGATGATTCCTGGATTTCTGTGTATGCAGTCAGATATTTCTAACCTCCAACCCAATTTATCATTTCTTGCTGTTGCTTTTCAACACCTCTGTAACTACTTCAGACTCTAAGGAAGCAAATTTCAATGCAAACAACTTCCCTGGCCAGTCTGTGACCCAAAGCAATGCAAATTCCCTCTTCCATAATTCCAGTGTCATCTTACCCTTAAATATTTCCAAATATAAATTGAYAAGAGCCAATTCAATCTTCCATGTCATTTCAGCACAGCTACCTCCACACAACTACATAASAACAGCTTGAGAGGTGAGAATCTGCAGATGCCATGCTTGGAAATCCAATCCAAAAGCACACCTGGAGTTCTCCAGGTTGAGAAAAAGTCCTACTTTGCCTCCACAAAAAAAACATGACTGTCACTACTACTGTGGCAACTGCCAAATTTATCATATTTGCATCAAAACCAAACCACTGCTTCAGAATGWGCCCAGAGCCAGCCACTCACACAAGCAGAATGCCTTGGCACCTCAGGAACTACTGTGTAATTAAATTAGGTAATGTGCTGTTGCTTTAGAAAAATGTCTCGAACCTTAATTGCTGTTTAAGTGTGCTACAAAGAGAAGGCAAATAAAGGGATATTGTCAGGTCACACGGAATAAACCTGAGTAATTGGAATGTGGAATGGAACTTCTTTACACCTTTCACCTCTGCAACTGCTCTGCTTGGAGCACTAACACTGKTGCCATAACATGTTCAACACCAATATTCCTGAAATGCCAGAAAAAGGATGGAAGGATGAGCTGAAAATATGACTGAAGAAGTTTCAGAGGAAGGAATTAAAATTAATTAAAACAAAAGGGTGCAGGATCCAGAAACACTTCAGTTCTCACAGGATTGAAGGAACCATTAATTAGAACTGTAATTTGGCCCTACAATTTTCTCCCTCTTTTGACCAGTCTTGAACAAGCTGGAAATGAAGAATGTTCAGCATACTTGTAATCATTGTTCCTAATACCTGTTCCTTCCCAAGTTTCCATTCCCTCATCCTCCATCTCAACACAAATGAAAGACACAGTCGTCGAAAACCAAAAAGGTGGTGTATTGATTATTCAAAGATCACAAATTGCCCGAAGAGAAAATAGGGAAATAAACAGAGGCTACAAAAGAAATCTCCAGTCTCAAGAAATGAATTCATTATTCAACAGAGACATCTCTGCTGATTTAACTTGCAATAGGTGCAAATTAACTGAGTGAAACAAAGTTTTCCAGGAAGCATTAACAAACAGGAAGAGTGGCCCTAATTATCCAGAATATACTACAGCTAGATTTCSAGAAATCAGATTAAATGGCAGCTAAATTCACAGAACTGTTTTGCTTCTTTGTGTACAGCAGATGCCCTACTGAGCCAGGTCAGAGGCTGTGTGTAGTGGCCGGGGAACTTCCATTTGTTTTAATCAACCAGCTACATTGGATTAACTCACTTCAAAGCCCTCCCTCCTGTCCATGTGTCCTGTAAGAGCAGGAAAACCTAGGTATGATCTCTCATATTCCCCCAYGTGTAATTATATGGTTTGAAATTTTAGAAGTTATACTGGGAATAACTTTGAGAAGAGCTGAAACTGAACAATTTATCTGAATGTTCTCCTTCCAGTTGAAATCAAAATTGTGATTTTTTTTTTATTGGCATTAAGGTGCAGAATTAACCACAGATGATGTAGCTTCAAACTCTGCAACTTTATGTGGATATGAGGAAATCTAGATGCAGGCCCCATTGTAGTTTATAAACACTGCATATTCTATTCTGTAGCAAATCCAAACTAACAACATTGYGCAACATTTAGATAAAAATCTTTTGTTAATTGTAGAAAAACTTACAGGAAATGGCACTCCTCATCTGTTTCTGGGTGAGCAAAGATCACACTAATTTCAAACAAACTCTAGATTAAAAAAAAAGAAAAAAGAACAAGAARGTGGTAACAGTTTTTTAAACAACCAGGGAGGATATCCTCAAGCAGCCATACCAGGAAAACAGTGGAGACAACAGAAAGAGTAACCCATTTACTTATATTTAAAGGCATTAAAATGKGTGCCAGAGCATTTGCCTTTCTGAAGTCACCAAAGATGATGTGAGAGCACTTCACAGCCATGAGTGGCCTGCACAGCTCCCATCCTGTGCAGGGCTGAGGCAGAGGCAGCCAGGGCTCAAAGCCTATTACGGTCACTAAGCCCCAGAGCCCTCCCGGGAGTGCAATAAAGACAAAAGCCCTGCGTAGTCACCACTGTAAAATTTTGTCAGGGGCTTCCTTTGCAATGCCTGCATGGCCTTGGGGCAAAGAAAGGCAACATGTCCTCCTGGATTGACAGCTAGCCCAGGAACTCCAGTGTAATCTCAATTCCACCCCCAATTCCCTMTCTGGCCTTGGGCAAACAACACTCATTACTTCTGTTACTCAGATACCAGTACACCTCAGGAGGGCTATTGAAAAGATTGGCTAATATTCAAGTGCCTTGTAGATAAAGGGCACTAGAAAAAACAACTTTTATGGTAAAGGGATGTCTGGAGTGGCTCGGTGCTTAAGTGTTGTAGAGCTTTGCTAACTTGGTATGYAAGAAGTTTGTTTCTTCCTGCATCACCTTCAGAATAACAATGTTTTTTATCTTCACTAAGACAAAAGGGATGCTTTCAATTAGCACTCCTGGGAAAACACAGTCTGTAATTATTGACAAATCAACATAAAGACTAAATGAATCTAGTGCTGGGGTCAGTTCTATGGCTGGTGACAAGTAAAACCTACAGCATGCTTTGGTCTCAGCAGGAATTTTAGCCATGACTGCAGAAATTTTACATTCAAGATGATTCAAGATGCTTCTGAGTTTGGCAACACCTGATTGACATGTTCAGTCAAAGCCTTTCAGAAAGATTTTAAGGGTATTAGTCGGAATCTGCAAGTTGAAAACAGCTTGAAAAARACCCATTTCTATTGCCTACTTAGGGGTACTGCAGGTCCCAACATGTCCATTTCTAGTGTTCATCAAAGTGAACAAGGACCAGTCTTTTCTCTTTCAGCACATTTCAGAAATATATTTTATCCACAGAACCTGAACAACTGAGCTCACAGAACAGTAGTAAGTGYTGGCAGTGACAGAAGAGCCAGGAAGGAATGTGTGAGCATTCCTTAGCCTCTGCAAAACAGGGATCCTGGAACAGAAGGCAACTGAAAAAGACTCATTAACAAAAGGAGGATGGCAGCACAAGAGATTTAGCACAAGCCTGTGGTGGTTTCAGAAGATGCAATGATCTGTGTGTACAAAAATGAACATTGAGCCCCTCAGGACAGAGACTTKGAGACCTCTGGTTAAAGGAACTCCCCCCCCTGCTTTTCTCTGCAGTAAATATAGGAGCAATTCAACTTGTTTCTCTCTTARTAAGGAAACAAGGACAGATTTTTATTTCCCCAACAAGTGAATAAGTGAATAAATATACWCACACAAACACATAGGAAAAAAGAAAAAAAAACCAAAGAAAAAAGTGTTTTGTTATTTATACGACACCTTTCCATCAGCAGAAACGCCCAACTCTTCTGACAACTGGGGATGAATAATCCACTTATAAGCTTCYTTCAGCTGAACAATGTCATCCTTTGCCAAGGGAAGCCCCAGATTTCTGAATCACAGAGAAAAAATAATTTGCCCAGGAGTCTGGCAAAAATAGATACATGACATACAATATTTCAAGATGAACTTAAGTAACTACTGCCAAGCAAAACAGATTAATTCTTTTTTTTTTCTGTGCACTGAGGAAACTGATGCCAGAGCTTCCTAGCAGATCAAAAGTTGCAAAAGTCTTTCAAGAGCCTGCCCAGAGAAAAGCTGAGAAAGAGAAAGATACATTTCAAACCACYTGTTTGGGAACTTAGAGAGCAAAAGAGATAAGAAACCCCAAGTCAGGTCAAAGCAGGTAAAAAAGAAAAAACAAAAACACATAAAAATTAGCTRCCATCTTATTCCTTGTAAGCATCAGGTAAACCACACTATAAAATTAACATTTATACAGACAAATGGTGTCTATGTGAAGAGTTCTTGCCAGACAGACAGCAAAAGCCATTACTCACCTCATCTCCTGCTTCACCCCCAGCCAAGCAGCACGCTGCAGGTCACCAGAAATGCMCATGGAAAAGACAGGGAAAAGCAAAAGCAAGTGAAATTAAGGCTCAAAACTCCCCAACAAAATGAGAGACTCTTTGCAAAAGAAAAGTGTTTTAAAAACTCATAACAAAGGGAAGTATCAGGAATTTGGTATTTGCCTCAGAAGTGGAAAGATGGAATTGGTGTTTGTTTTTATTTCTAAGCCATCAYTTTGCTCTTCACCTCAAATCCTACCTGGCTATTAAAAAAAAGAGACTTCATTAAACATTTTGGAACTTGCTATTAATACTGTAACTACAAAAAKACTCTGACAGCCTAAGTATCAGTATCTACTATACAGAGAAATTTTTTTATTTAATTGTCTAAATTAATGTTATAGGAAAACTGGTTAACATATAAATTAATAAAACCCCAAATTCAGTTATTATCCATTATTATAACTATGAAATTAAAACTAYACTTAGTCTTACAGTATCACAGAATTGCCCCCTTATTTAAAGCACACCACTTAGTTTAGGAGAATAGGCTGAATAGGGGAAAGATGAGGAACAGAAAGAATATTTCTAGAAATCAGAGGGAGCTTTAAGTACAAATACTCAAGTTCACTAACAATAAGAAGAGAAAAACTCCCCTCGAAACTTCCTACAATGAAGCACAACAACATTTTCAGTTCTCCTCTACTAACAACAATTACAGAATACATTAGGACTTGCAGGAAACCACTTAACTAACAGAATCTGTACACTCAATTCAGTCTGTGTCACCATCCCCACTGAAAATTAATTCCAAAAGTCAAGCTGTTGGATTTGAAATAACCACAATGAAACAGTTTTCAGTMTGTTTCAGACCTTTAAATCTCTTCCCTATCTTCCATTCTTCATATACTTAAAGAATAACCTTCCCCAAACTCTGCTGAAAGAATTACTGACCATAGACAAGGAAATAATTCTAAGCAAGAGGTTTGAAAACATGTCTCAAACTTCAAGGAGTAGGGCCAGGATCACATGAATATCAGAAGRTATCACAGATCTCTTTTCCATGCTGATAAGGAAATCAATCTAAAAAATAAGTCTATTACCCTTCCTTTGGTGCATTTAAAAGAAGGAGGGAACCCTAAAACAGTGCTAGAAATATTAAGAGAAAAGAGGGATGGTGGAGAACATGAACTTTGTCAGATACATGATACACAAACCTACACATTGCTGAACAAAACAAATACAGTTGTACTGATGGAATGCAGTTTGCTCAAACTCACAGTGATTCATTATCCTGCATTTGTAGACAGTGTGAGTAAGGCTGCTTCACTTGAAGTATATTGTAATCCTGTTTGCATAATCACCCAGATAAAATCATAAATAAAAATAGCTTCAATTGAAATTCCTTGAACGTAGCTCTGAACTAGAGGATATGACAACCACAGAACTGGGCCTAGGAACCTGCATTTGACAAATGCCAATTCATAAAAAAACCTCTRCCATGCCTTGATTTAGAGCACATGCAGGTTTGGGACTCAGTAGGATGGCTAATCTCACTCCTTTTCCCTGTCTTCTGGGGATACAACTGCAAAATAAACAGAACTTCTCCATGTGAGCAGCTATGCTAAAATGAGACCATAGGTCAAATTTCACCTCCTCTCTCTTGAGTTACAAGTCGAAAGAGAATTAAAGAAATTACTTTCCCCCTTCAATTAGGAGGAAACAATAAATGAGGGTACTGCAAGCACAGAAGCCAAAAGATCCCAAATTCCAAATTACACTCAACCAYCAAGCCAGCCAAACCCCTCTACTTTCTCCCAGCTGTACATGGAGCAGGGGAKCAGATCCCTCTACTTCGTAATTACTTCATGTTTGTGAAGTGGTTTGAAAATGAAAAATGTTCATTACAGAGCTGAAGCCTGCAGGGCAATGTTTAGCAGCAAATACATCTCTGGAATACACCAGCTYGGGCACTGTATTGATTACAAGCTGCAGGATATTATTCTGGTGCTATCTGAGGGAGCACAGAGGCAACAGTTGAAATACCATGTGCAATCCTAGCCACAGCATTGCTTCAGTGTATTAGAAAGGAGCTTGGAGATGGGGAATTCCAGGATGAGGCACAGCCAGCCCTACMGGGAGTAATGACTACAGATGTTATTTGCATCAATGTCCTTGTAGCAAGTACCAGGATGATGGATCACGACTGAGACCACAGACAGAGCCAACAGTCACCCTTCTGAAGGGCACGACTCACTTCATATTCTAATAGAGTTGTCTGACATAAACTTGGGACTCCTGGATTTATGATTTATTTCAATCAAATCTCCTACTTGTGGAAAGAGGCAATTGCTTCCTTGCATCACAGATACAAATACTATGCAAATGTAGATTTTATGTCCCACTCTTCTCCAGCTCCTCTCATACATTTCARACTTGGCAGGATGACAACTGTCATAATTAAATGAGTTGAAGGTAATACTGAAAGGCAGTTTCTGGGTTTTTTTGTTAAAAAGATGATGGAGAAAATCTGTGTGCCACAGCAGAGGGCAATGGGAGGAAGGCTGCCTTTGGGTGTCCTTTGATGACAGGATTACACATTTTTGTACAGAGCAGGTCAAAGAATTAAAAGCATAATTTAACGAACAACCTCTTTTCAGTCCAAAGCACTTAGAGATTTTTTGATTTTGATATTTTCAGACATTTTCACAAATTATATTACTGCTTTTCTGTGGCTGTAGAACAGGGAATGTATCACCAATTGGTTTTTTTTGTAAGTGATAAACAGATAGGAGGTAAATAAACCCTCATGATTTTTAAAATTTTTCTTCCACCATCACCCCTTTTTACCCCTGCAGCTGTCGCAGACAGCTGGTTTAGCATTTGGCAAGACTGGGGAAATAGAAAAGAAGGGGCAGCAGTAATTTCTTAATCCAAACCTTCTCCCAGTCAAACCAAAACTGCTTCCAAAGGGAACAGATCCAGTTTTGGAGCTTCCTGCTGACTTAATTCACTCCCTCTATTAATTTCTGGGCCCACAGTACAACTCTTACTTCCTTGGCTGTCCCCAGCACTGCAGTGCTGCTGCTCTGCTGGAACACGAGGCCCARGCAGTGTGAGGACATTGCTCACCTGAACTGCAGTGCAACACCACCCTCTACCGAGGCTTCCTGCAAACACCAGGTGCTTTTAAAACAAGGCAGCTTACATCAGGCTTAAAGCTGGAGTAAAACTTGGAAAAGTCTGACCTACATTTGGGCTTTCCCAGAGCATCACACACACCCCAGTACTCGCCTAGCCTGAAAATGCTTTTTGACACACCTCATTTTTTGGAGGCATCAGAAAACAAAATAGCAATAAAGGCCAGAAAGAACAAAGCAAACACACCAATTTTGCTCAATCTAAGATAGGAAGTAAAGAATCTTGTGTTGCAGAAGATTTAGAATATTTGTTAGCTATTACACTGGCATTTGCCCAAGATGCCAGAGCTAACAGCACCAATCACCAYTACAAGTGCAGCAGATTACTTAACAAACTGTGTGGGAGCAAAAGAGACCTCACCACAGCTTTACATATAAATCCAACACCATCTACACTTCTTTCTGCCATGCTCACTGAAGYTTCCACCACATCTTAACCACAGCAGGCATCTATTGTACAGATTCACATTTTGCCTTTTAAAACACCACTTTTGCATCACTTCTAGAACAGTACTTTTGCATCATTTTAYATCAGAAAGCAGGGGAAGATTGCAAAATACCTCACAACTAAGTGTATTTTCCCATCATTTAAAATGCTGAACACTTCAAGAGTTCATCCTCAAATTCCCTGATTTGTATTCTGCACCACCAATTATCATTTATCCCTGGAAAGGCACCAGCTGCGCAGTTCTGTCTCCGAGAAGATCCACAAAGCAGAGCTGGAGCCTGCACCAAAGGGAACAATTCACTGAGGGTTTAAACAAACTCCTTTTAGGTTTTCAGATGTAAAGTAACTCCTGGGCTAACTGAAAACTTCAGTGATTCAGACCCTTTATTAATTACAATAATATTCACCCACAAGGAAGAGGAGAGAAGATTTCACTTTCAGCATGTGTTTCTGTTTTTTTTTTAAATGATAACAATTAAAAATCAAACCACCTCTGGCTTGTACATTCCAGTTACTTTCTTAAATATATATTTAATTATTTGAGTTACTTACCTCCCTGACAGACAGCTGTGGGGGTAGTGACACAGAAAATACAAAACTAGTGAACTGGTAGTCAGCAGAATTAACTTTTTGGCACACCTGTAAAAGAAGGAGCTTAGYATTAATCTTTAAAATCTTATAAACTTGATAATATTAATTCCACATCATCACTGTGAATTCATGTTAACACACATTCAGAGAGATGGCCAACATACAAACCAGAGTAATCACTAACAACTTATTGAAATATAAGCTTTTTTGTTCTGTTAAAAAAAGTTATGAATAAATAGTATCCTTAGTGGTATGAAACATCCAAACTCACTATTTTAAGGCCAAGAACAATTGTACATTGAAATTTCAGGTGAAATCAGCATCTCAGATAAGGAAATKTATGTATCAAATAATTAGTTTTTGTGGTGCCTTAACAAGAGCTGTCAGATTTTCCRTTGCCTGAAGAGAGTAACTCTGAAACAAGTCTTAGCAGTGGATTCTGTAAAAAGACATATACTGCCAATGGAAACAAAAAAAATCTAATTATGTTTTGCAACAACAAACTATATACTGTTCTTTCCATCTAGTCTCGGTTTTGATATATTCCTGCTATTAAACCAAATCYTTTTCTATTAAAACCCTGTTAAACATCTCAGATGCCAGTGTGAATTTTCTAGCTGATATTTCAGTGAGCAATTTAATTGCTCAGAGATAGTGTTTGCAACACTCTGTGCCCACATTCTTTCCTAACTCACATTTCCTCTATTATCCACAACCTGGATAATATCACCAAAACATTTTCTTCCTCTGGGGTCCTTCATAAAGACAAGTTTGTGCTGTACTAAAAACATGTTGTTTAGAGAACAGCCCTTSATGACTCCTCATTTTCTTGTCACATAAAAAATTGAAGAGAAGTCATCAGTTCCACTGAGGTTTTCCTCAAAAGCAGCTGAACCYCAGGTCATCTCCTAAATTCATATAACCACGTGTCTGTTAGTCCTTTTCTTAGGAAAGTGTGCTCCCTGCAGTCATTCCATTGCACCTGCACTGCTATGTTTTTTTTAGAAGTGCCACTATGATAAAGTTTGGGCAAAATTCAGTCCCACTACAGATGCAACTTCCCAATTGCATAGGTATGCAAACACTGCCCAGGAGCAGGAATGCTGAAGTTGAATGGGGCCATCTACATTTCAAATATTTAAAACAGACAAATGTTTTGGTTTGTTTTCTGGTCTCTTTCTTTCAAAGAAATAGAAAACTTCTTTCAAAAAACCCAAAAAACTGCAAGATATTTTTAGTCACCAGCTCTATGTCATAGGCCCCAACACAAACAAGCTCAAAAAATGTACCCAAAATACTAAGAACAGGTATTTACCTTTTTAACAAAGTCAGCCTCACAGAACTCCTGAAGAATTCCCAAACACACGTTGCAAACCTTCACAGCTGAGCTCTCCATTGCAGCATTTCCATCATCAGCCGAGGGAATCTGTGGGATGGCTCCGTTGTGGTTCAGATCATCAGCGCCTTCTTCACTGTACTCAAGTCTGATTCTCTTACAAGGTGGGTCAACCACATCCAAAMAGACTGTGTCTTCTTTTTCCTGATTGTTTTTCAGAAATTCCTTTAAATCCTTCATCAGATTCTAACATAAACAGAGGAATCACACTGTGGTTGATTTTTCCTCTTCAGCAAACACAATTCCATAAGGCAGTACAACCCATTCCAGCTGAGCCTTAGTGCATGTAATTAACAACTCAGAATTTATACCCAAAGACATCTTTAAGACACATTTAAACAGCTCCAAGCTGCATTTCTCTCGAAATAGAGATTTCCAGAGAAAATGCAGCTGAACAGACTTGTTTATCATCCAAGAATGAAAACATGTTCCAGACCTGACTTGCAGAAACATTTTTATCTTTGCCCCACCACTATTCAAAAGAGGTACTTGGTACCTTCTTGCCATTCAGATTATGTTAGAATTTAATTCCTCCAACTCCACTAGCCCAGGAAGAGAGTTGGCCACTACAGTATAAAAAGAAAGTAAGAGCAGATATAGGTGGAGGTTCTACAATTTAACATAAATTTCCTTTACATTAAAGGAAAAAGCACAGTTTTTCATAACTCCTTCTGCAAAGCTTTTTCCTCTCAGSCAAAGAGCACAAGAACACAACAAASGACAAACCTGGTGTGGGTGCCTGTAAAGCATCTGTGATCCCACRCTGCAGAACCTCAAAATACATCGGGGGCAAGTGCCAGTGTTGAGTAACAGCTGAACAATTGGTCTGTCCTTCTCTGTTAGTGAAGACATACTGGGTAATTCTAAAATTCAACACAGAAAAGAAAAAAAAAGCTTAGAATAAAGACAGTTCAGCAATTCAGTAATAAAAAGACTCAACTGGGACTTAACTGCACCGTATTTAGAATAACTGGAATTGTTTCTGTCCTCTAGGGAATATTTAGGACACATGTTTGTTTTAAATCATAGAGCACAAGAGAAGTGGAAGACCAACCCAAAAAGACCACTGACTGTGGGAGAAGCTCCTGTACTTCCTAGAAACCCGAACTCAAGTGTTCTGACAAGGGAATGCTAAGCTTTTGCCCACTGTTATCTCAGCTAAAGTAACATGTTAATCTTTATTAAATGAAGGAGGGGGGAGCTAAGATGTATTAAGCCAAATTTAAAATGGAAATCCCTCCTAAAATTGCAGCGACTAAAGAATCAGTCTGTTAAAATCACAAGGGAATAAAATAGAGTCTCAAACCACCCATCCTTTTGTCAGACAAAGTCCTAAAGGCAAAGGAAGCCTTYTCTATCCATTAGCCCCTCCAATTTTTTTAAGATTTATTCCCCCTCTCAAAGAAGACACACGTTTTTCGTGAAAAATCACGTACTTTTTCTCCCCGCTAAAATATCATGGCTAATTTGATTTCCTGGCATACTCTCTGCTCAGAACTTTAGAACAGACTGATTTTTTGGGCTGAAATTTTGTAATGTAGTAGAACTCAGCATTTTAAAACAAAAATATATGGAAGAAGAGAGATTCCCAGTGAGGTGCTCACCCTTACTGGACATCCAGGAAACTTCAGGAGGATAACCTGGAGGATAACATAAGGATAACCACAGTTGTTCAGACCAAAAGTTTAACCAGTCCATTGTCACCCAAAGTGGGAATAAACTGCTGCCACAGGAAAATATGTGTGTACAGAGCACACACATATGCCAAGTGCTCTCTGCCTTTGACCAAATGTGGTTTGCCTCTTGTTGAACCTTAACAGATCCTTCCTCCAGTGTCTGTTAGAAACTCTTTTGCCTTTGCATCCTTTGGCAAGGAATTCCACAATACCTACAGACTGATGAACCACCTGATTTTGGTTTGGGCTTAGTTCCTGCAAGCAACATTTGATACCCTCCTAGTGTTTGTGCCCCTAGAGACTCATTTAGAGATGGGATATATCCCTGTTCCTCATGCCAACCACAGCCTGTCAGACCTGGAATATCCAATCCTGCTCAGGAGTACCCTGCACAGAAATGCTGCAGCCATGGAAAACCTCCACAGCATGGAACAGTTATTGATTCAATTAATTTCGTTTGTCCTGGGTTTGGACTCTTTACAGTAAGCTATAGAAGCCGAGGGCTATCTGGAAAACTTCAAACCTGTTTCCGAAAAGAAACAGCAAACACCAACAAAATTGCTCTTAGGTAACTGCAACCTCAATTCATGAGACTTCATGAGACTTAAATACCGGCACTGTGTGACACATGAGGGCAATTGTGGCAATATTTGTAATATTTTGTGGCAATGTGGGGACAGGAATCACGGCCCCCGCTCGGACCCAGCACCTCAGGGCTGAGCTCTGGACCCCTCATACCTGAGGGGGAGCTCAGGGCCCCCATTCCGGCCCGAGCCTCAGGACTGCACGTCTGAAAGGGGCCCCTGCCCCCGACACTGCAGGCTGAGCAGCAAGGGTGCGGAGGAACGGGCCCGCTCAGCACAGCGCCGCCCCGCCGCAGGCCGGAGACCCCAGAAACAGGCGCCGTTCCCGCTCCGTTCCCTTTCCCATTCCCAYTCCCACCGCCATTCTCCATTCCCGGTCCCGCTCACCCTTCGCGCGGCGGACCGCGGAGCCGGCACAGGCTTACTCAGCAGAGTGGCAGAGCGCATCGCTCGGCCGGCGCGGAGGGGCGCCGTGCCCTCAGGGCGGCTGGTGGAATAGCTCGGCGCTCACTCGTGGTGCCTGCCAGCGAGCGGAGCCGAGCGGGGCCGAGCCCGAACCGAGCGGGGCCGAGTGAGGCCGAGCTGGGGTCGAACGCCAGTCGAGCGAGGCCGAAGAGGAGCCGAGCGAGTCCGAAGAGGAGCCGAGCGGGGCCGAAGAGGAGCCGAGCGGGGCCGAAGAGGAGCCGAGCGGGGCCGAAGAGGAGCCGAGCGGGGCCGAGGGGGCGCGATGGCGGCGACGCCGCCGCCCAAGCCCTGGGAGTCCCGGCGGCTGCCGGGCACCGCGCCCGCCTTCCAGTGAGTGCGGGCGTCCCTCGCCGGGTGTCCCTGCCGCGGTGGCGATGGGTGTTCGCCCCCTCGGGCCGGCCGGGCCCGCTCCCCTGGGGCGGGCTCAAAGGTCGGGCCCGGCCGGGGCTGTGCGCGGCGCCGGGGTCGGTCGGGGTGGGCGGCCCTGCGCTGTGAGGGGTTTGTGCCGGGCGGGGACGGGTGGCCTCGGGGAAAGCGTCCCTGTGGGGGGCTCTGAGCTCTAACCCCGCTGGTGTCAGTGAGAAACTGCCTGTGCGGTGTGGGGAAGGGAAAGCTGTGTTGTCACCGGTGGATAGAGTGCTTTCCCAGTGCATTCCTGGGGGTTGTGCAGCTCTGTGAGCCCCCGAGTCTCTGCAGCACTGGGGGAGCTGCGTGTCACCCCCGGGGCTTGGAAAAAATTCCTGTGTGTTGTTATTCTCGTGTGTATTCTCGTCTTCTTCCARCAAATACAACCTGCTCGTGGAGAAGGATAGACTGAAAGTATTTGTAAACTCTTTCTTTTTTATGAGGAATCAAGGGAAGCTCGCTCGGCGGCTGAATATTTGTCTTGTTTTTCGCTCGGTGCTGGTGATTGCAGACAGAGCTGAAACTGGGCAAAAGGTTGGGCCAGCACTAAACATTGAACAGAAGCTTCGCTGCGTTCTCTGCAGCTTGCTGAGGCAGCAATTTGGTGTTAATTTTTCGTTCTGGGTTTATTTACCCCATTTTCAAGTAGCTWTAAAGTTGGGTATCCCAAGTTGACTACTGGGAGAGGACTCTAGTGTGACTTACTGAGTTACAATAGCTCTGTTTGCTGGGCTAATAATTTATTTTTCCTACTGTTTTTAACTGCTGAGAGGGTTACAGTCTGTGATGGGAAAAGCAAGCAGTGTAAAAATACAAATATTATTCTTTGCCGTGGAAACCTGTAAGTTTTGCTTAGAGGAAGCTGTTCCCTACCTTGTATGGAAATAGTACAGCAAGCAGCASCTCCATAGCAATTCCAATTTGGCTTTTTGTCTTTTGCTGTGAATTTAATGTACTGCAGAACTGGGAACTCACGGGATGAGGCAGTAAGCACGGGAAATAGCATGTTTGACTTTTAGGGTGGCAATATGAATGTAAATTCACATTACATGCGAATGAAATACATGTATTTTTTAATGAAATGGCAGAAGTTGGACAAAAAGCTGCTTGACAGAATTCAAGTACTTGCAGAGTCTTATTACAAAGGGCATCGGTAGAATGACTTRTACAAAGGAAAAGAATTGCTGAATTAAGTACAAATAATGGAGTTATAATACCTCTTTTTGCCAGCACTTATCAGTGGTAGATTGAATCCCTTGACAACCTGCACAAAGGTAGTCAGGTAGTTCGGGTAGAGGGGGGATTGGGGACCTCAAAGCCCTTGCACATATTGTTGCATAATTATTTAGATTCTCGATTAGGAAACGCCACCCTTTAGGGGTGGATTCAAAGGAGCTCTCATGCTTTCTTCCTGCTGTATACTTGCTTCATTTTATAGAAGAGTTGGGAACAAGTGTTGGAAAAAGTAAGCTTTCAGATTGGAAAGTTCATAAATATTCTTGGTAGAGCCTGTGAGAGGCTTTCATGTGTAGAGGGATGACCTGGTTGTTAGAGCAGTAGGTTTGATGGCTCCAGGCTGTGTATTTTATACACACAATACAATTATTGATACAATAAATAGAAATTTTTTTTCCATGTATATATTCCAGTTCCATGTTTACACTGAATATCTCATTATGGTTTTTTTCCCCTGAAAGKCCTGTGTTTCCTGACCAGATTTTTTACTTCTGACAAACTTTGTACAGCATACTGAGCGTTCGGCTTCCACATTCCCCATCCCAGCACTACTGAAACTAATTGCAGTATTTATATAGTTAGCCAAGAGCTCTGTGGAAATGAAAATTTAAACTTTGGATGCTGATCTTGATTATCTGAATTTGTTTAGGTCTGCTGACTTGGGTGACAACCTGCTGACCAGACCYGGACAACCTGTGGTGGCACGAATTCCTCCACCCATTTTGCCAAGACCGTCCCATCAAACAGGAAGCAGCAGCCTGAGCACTTTCAGGCCAGCATATASCAGTTCTTTTTCTCCAGGCTATGGTTCATATGGCACCTCTTTCTATGGAAGCTATAGTCCCTACAGCTATGGCTATGGAGGTCTGGGCTATAACCGCTTCTGTGCCGACAGCATTCCTCCCAGCAGGTTTGTCCAGCAGGCTGAAGAGAGCAGCAGAGGTGCCTTTCAGTCCATTGAAAGCATCGTGCATGCCTTTGCCTCAGTCAGCATGATGATGGATGCAACCTTCTCAGCTGTGTACAACAGCTTCAGAGCTGTTTTGGATGTGGCCAACCACTTCTCCCGCCTCAAAATCCACTTCACCAAGGTGTTTTCAGCTTTTGCTCTAGTGAGAACTATAARGTACCTCTACCAACGCCTGCAGCGCCTGCTGGGTCTGCGGCAGAGCTCTGAGAATGAGGATTTGTGGGCTGAGAGTGAGGGCAAAGTGGCTCGTGCTGGCCTTGAAGACAAGGTGGCTAACTCTGCAAAATCCTGGCCCATTTTCTTGTTCTTTGCTGTTATAATGGGAGGCCCCTACCTGATTTGGAAGCTGCTTTCTACATACAGTGATGAAGAAACAGGTAAAGATGATCTGCAGCACCAGAGAASTGCAGCATGTATTGTTCCTTTTGTTGTTGTCTGTATAGTGATTAATCTCACACTACAGAAACAGTAATTGATACTGGGGTACAGTACTGAATTTTAGACATGTGATACAAGTGACAGCCTGCTTATGTAGCCTGTTGTTGAGTTAKGATGTGGTTTGATGTTGAAGCTGTGATTCCAGATCTGTGGTTCCTCTCTATTTCTGGTTCCCTTCTATTAGATGTGACAGTTCTGGTTGTGTGGGACAAATTTCAGTTGGATTAACTCAACAAGTCATGCTTTGCTTGTTGCTTCTGTCAGTGCTCTAGTGGAAAAGTTTTAGCAAGGAAGTTAAAGTGTTTTCTTATTTTCCTTTGAAAAAAGCGCACCAAACTTTGTAACTCAAAGSACATAAACTTGTAATTTGTTTTTGAAAACAGTGTCTAGTAACTGGGCAAGTGGAGAAGATGACCATGTGGTTGGAAGAGCAGAGTATGATTTCAATGCTCTCTCAGAAGAAGAAATTTCTTTCCGTGCTGGTGACATGCTCAAATTAGCACCCAAAGGTAAACTTGTAATTTTGTGTTTATTTTCCAATCACATATGAAGTTGTAGTGTAAGAGTCTGAAAATTAAAACAAAAAAAACCCAAACCACCTCATTTGACCAAATTCCCCATCCACACTGATTTTGTTCTCCYCATTAAGTGATTACTTGCATTGTAGTAAAACTTACTGAGTAGTTTTACTCAGTGTTGTTGAATTGTTTTGTAACTTGAAGTGTTTGCTTTCTCTCCTTCAGAACAACAACCCAAGATCCGTGGTTGGCTTCTGGCTAGTTATGATGGCCAAACAACAGGACTTGTGCCAGCTAATTACATCAAAATCCTGGGCAAAAGAAGAGGTAGGAGAACAGTGGACCCGGAAAGGATTACGGAGCAGCGACCTGCCTTTCCCAACACATCTGTAAGAGGAGCCCCTGCTGCTGTGACTTTAGAGGAGCAGGAGGCTGCTTTTGAAACTGTTTTTGCTGGAAGTAGCAAAGYATCCACTGCGTCGGACTCCGCTGTGGCTGGTGGAGAGAAGCAGGAACTCTAATGCACTTTGATCAACAAAGCAACTGAACTGTGCTTTATTGATATCACTTAGGGTTTGTTGAAAATCTGGTTTGTAGTGGAGCACTGGTGGGTCTGTACCAGTTATTGCTGCTACTGGCTGGTGAAGGGATGGGGAAATGATTGCTCAGATTGGTGGTATTTATTTTTGACTCACCTAAGGCTGTACATCAGTGATTCTATCCTATCCAACCACCTGGCAGCAACTCTAAGATTTTGAGATAGGAGAAGTGAGGCATTTATAAAAAAGCAAACAAAAACCAAGAAGGACCGCCATTCTTATTTGGGAGACAAATTAACACCCAGTCTCCATTAGAGTATTGGCTCGACAAGAAGCCTCTTCARTAGATGTGCATAGGGAAGATTGATTTCTGTAAGATGTCCCCTAAAACTTAACACTCAGAACCATAAAAGGGTAATAGCACATTGTCTCCCTCTAAAAGGAGGGAGAATTGCAGGACATTTATACAATTGAATAGTTAAAAGTTTTAAGTTGCTTTTCATAAGAAGCAGGGTTCTGTCATAAAGACCTTAGCTCTTAGTAAAAAGGGACTTGGGAGGAAGGAAGGAGAAATAGAGTTTACAAAGGAAGAGCAGTGAGGCTTCAMCTGTAGTTCCAAGCAGTTCTCATTTGTTAGTTAAAAGGACATTAGAATGAAGGGTATTCTGCAGCCAGGCACTCATTAGTTTTTACTCCCTTAACTAAATTTGCATCACTCTTAGCCATTTTGTGTTGTAGCCTTTACTGCCTGTCCACAGTCTATCAGCTACCATCTGCATCTCAACTTACTTCTGTTCTTTATTGATTTTCTATGAGTGTCAAAATACCTATCCTGCGTTTTTGAGCAGTAGGAAAGCCTTGAGTTGGGGCAAGTTGAAAGGAATTGGARCAGTAACATTTCTTGCTTAATTGTCTCAGTCAGAGAAGGTCTTGGAGTTGGACAGATTTTTTATGCTGCCTTTCAGGTTGTAATTTTTGCATCTGCCCATAAAATTTGAGGGCTCCAGTTTATCAAAAGCCATAAAAATATCAAGACTGTTCGGAGTATTTTCTTCCTATGGGTGTTTGAGAATTCTGTCTTGAAATATTGTTTTGTTTTTTTGTTGAATGAAGCAAAGATAATGAAAACCGTTTTTTTTCCCTCATAATATGTATAACGTGTTCAATTTCTGAAGGTTACATCAGTGGATTAAATAACTAAGTTTGTCTTAATCATTAAAATAGCTGTTTTATTTTAAAGGTACTTGAAAATAAAAGTAGGGCACAGGCCTGTGATTGATTGAGTAGTTTCAGTTTGACCATCTCTACAGTGATCTTCAACACCCATTATGTGTTAACAAAGCTTTCAGTAATTATATTTTAATTGTATTTGCTGGCCTTGAGTTCTTAGAAGTCTGTTCAACACAACAAAACTAAAAAATCTTGAAATGAGCACAGTTTTATTGAGGTGGAGTGGCTGCAAAGAGATACTGTGCTGGAACCTTACTTTAAAGTCATCTCTGAATGTCTGTTGTTGATAAATAGAACTTCAATTTAAGTGGCTGTGCTCAGGTATTGAGAGATGGTGATTAGAATAATTTATAATAAATTATTAGATTTCCAAGTGCAGAGGGAAAGAGTAGTTAAAGCACAAATGAGAAACTTGAGAATAGGTTTAATAGATTTGAAACAGAGCATGTTCCTGGGACATTGCCCTGTGTACCAGGGCATAGAAGAAAACTATTTGTATTTGGAAATGACATCTGTTGTTGAAATGAAAATGACAAAAAATTCTTAAATCTAAAATAGAGAGGAAAGAGTGGGGAGGAGGGTATCAAGTGTACAGTTCTGTGCGCAGAGTGTGTCCCTGGAGAGAATTAATTTACTGTTGTGAGATGTAATTAGTGGACTGTCAGCCTCTCTTGTGTCAGTGAAAGATTTCAATCAGAGGGTTTTTAAATGAATAAATAAATAAACCCCAATTTTTTTTTTTTTTTAAGTAGCCATTCAAGTGGGTTTTTTGTTTTCTAGCTGTTTTTTCCTGTTTTTTCTTCTGTTTTCTGGCTCAGAACAAGTTGAGAAGACAGTCCAATGATGTTTGTTTGTCCCATGAATGTTGTTCCAATGAAGTCTTACTGATTTCTAGAAAGAYGAGTTAATCTCACTTTCAGGTCATACTATTTTGACAGCAATTMTTTTAGTAGGAAGATGGGTTATTCTTGACTGAGTCTTTATATTGGTTTGACTTAGCTTACAAATCGTTGTCATCATTGTATCTATTAAATCTCAGCAAGAATTTTGATCCTTTCAATCTTGGAATTACTTTAATTGGAAAAGAAGGCTCTGAGGAAATTGAGTTAGTTATTTAACTCACAATTAATTGTACTTATTGCAGAAGGGTATTAAAGTTCATTGAAGTAAAATATGCATTTCAATTCACTGTCTCTTTCTGTCCACGTGTTAAGCTACAGAAAAAAAAGACCTAAATGAACACTGGGTGAAAAGGAAGGCTGGTGGACAGGCTGCTCAAGACTTGCACAACTTTAGGAAGGGGGGAAGACTTAAAGGAGCAGTTGTGGCTGCAACAGGAGAATGTAGAAGAGGAGATCAGAAAAAGAAGGTTGTTGAAATATTGCTTAACTTAAGCATTAAGCAATCAACTCTTTATTTTGAGATCTGTACCTGCTAAGTTACCTTTACGTTAGTCTTTGGAATTATTTATATACCTGTAGCAGACCTAAAAGTCTGTAAAAGAGCTTTGACATCTGTTTATGTAAGGTTTTAGTTTATTCTTACTTAAATCTTACTGTTTTAGTAGATCGACCTTTTTCTTGAATGTGTGAGCTACCTACAGATGCCAGTTCTGAGTGGTTCTCTGGGTGCAAACAGAACATGAACATGCAGAGGTTCAAACGTTTGTTCAGCTTTCTGATTAATAAGTTTAAAATACTCTGTTTGTCTAGTAAAACTAAGTAAATAGGCCACTTGTGCACGGGCTCAAAAAGTCCTTGTGTGGAATTAGATTCCAACTGAAATATTAAGATAAGTTCTGACTTACTTGGTGGTCTTGGTCAAATTGCTAGTGAGGTAAATACAAAGCAGATGCAGTTTCTTACAAATCTGATCTGTAATGCAAATTTTCCAGAAGAGGTACAAACTAGGAAACTTAACACAGGGATTACTTTGTGCACCATTGCAAGAAATAATTTTGTCTGCAAAAGTAGAGGAACTGTACTTGTTTTTCAAAATGTAACACCAAAAGTTACATTCTTATGGAAATCCTTTCCATTTTTTATCCATGCAGGTGTGGCCCATGTATTGTACATATTTTAGGCTGTAAAGGTAAATATTGATTATGTGTGTCCACAAGTGGTGAGACACGTCCTTTTCCCTTTTCCTTGTAGCTTGGGACTGGTTTCCTTTGCAGACCGTTTTGAAGCAGCTTTGGACTGATAAATCTCTCCCCTGGGTTGTGTGGCCAAATGGAGCTCAGCCTTTAAACAGCTGGATAATCTCTCCTTGGAGCAAATGTACTGGTGTAACTGGTTTAACTGGTAACAAGTCATGCTGTCAGTGCAGGCACCCCTGCATCTTTCTTACCTGCTTTGAACTGCTGAAGTTCCCTGAATTTCACAGTAGTCACAGAACTATCAGACTCGAGCAAGTAACAGGGATTATTTATGCTGTCAGAGTATAAACAGCTTTGTGGTTTTAGAAATGAAAAATACAGAAAAACAGTTCTGGTACCTTTGAATTACTGTAACTGATCAAGCACAGTCTCTAGAATAGCAAATAAGTGAAATTTAGAATAGTGATTTTTCCTTTTATTCTCAAATACTGATATTGGAGGTTTTTTTCTTATTTAGAAAAATGAACATACAGGGATTGCCCTTCTGCTTAACAGCACAGGTTAATTAAAGAATTAAGAGAACATGTTCCAGCTCTCTGACATACCATCAAGTTTCTATTCATCATGAAGTAATTGTCATCAAAATACAGCAATATTCCAGCAATAGCTTATTTTGTGGATGGCTATAGGATGGTATGAAATTAGTGGTTTTTGCTTTCAGTGTAACTTAAGGGAACCTCTCAGACTGTCTGAAAGAATTTGGATTTCAGATACTTCTCAGGCTTGGTGGAATAGTTTTTTCTGAATTTTCCTGTGGGGTTTTTTTTTTGGGGGGTGGG